AAATGCTGACTATGCATTAATTTTTACTGAGGAGTGGAGACGTGTTGGTGAGAAGAAATATTGGATTTTCCTTTTGTTTTGTTGCATTTTGCACCATTAAGGGAATATGTGCAGACCACCTAATGGAATTATACATATTGGGGTTTTATATTTCGTTATATCGTTAATATTCGTCAAAATACAACCATATTTCGGTCTCGTATTACATGTATCAATTTTCACGTATGATGTAAACAATGATCGAGTCGAAATGTGCTCGAAGTGGTTTCTGTGTTTCGAAACATCATGGGTTCTTGTACAGATGACCTGTTTCAACACGCGCTTGTAAAGTTACTTCAAAGACTGGACAAAGCCGGACTGGAAATTAAAGAGAAGCAATACGAAGCTTTATCGTCCGTTGTAAGGAACAAGAACGACATGTGACATGTCTAAACGGCGGCGTGTGTCTGTTTAATGGGTTACAACAACGGCAATAACAATGAATCACCTAACATTTCAAGAAAATATAAATTATAGATTGATGTCATGCATGACTCCATGAGTGTTGGATTTGAATTGCTAGATTTAAATCTATATTATGTATACAAAATCATGCGTGCGTAAATTTGAGCAAAAAAGCACAAGGTCAAGGTGTTTGTTTGGCCATATGCCCATCATGTAGTATGAATATTAAACACCGTTTTATATAGCACTTTAAAACGCTATTTCCATGCAGGATAATCCTGAATCCTTCACCGATTACATGTGTGGCAAATGTCAATGACGAAAAATAATTATGTAAAATAATTAACCTAATATGTCTTTGGCCATGATTGCGACTCACTATGCTGCTTACATCTGACAGTCAAAACTATGTGCATGACTGTATGGCTCAGTGTATGTTTGAGGGAATTTTTTTTTTCAGATTACAGTATAACAACAATATTTTCTGCATGCAAGTGAGCCTTGTTTCAGATAGGGGCCAAATCATTTGAGGCCGAATGGGATAGCCAATGGTTGGAGAGTAATGTTAGCAAATTTAACTCCCTTACTTACATCATGGATTGTAAAACAAAGTTATTTTACAATCCATGCTTACATAATGTCAAGTTATCACTGGTCAATTTCTGAATTTCTTACAATTTCACAGCAAGGAGTTCATGGCCCCTCCCCCCTCCCCATTATCCAGAAGTGTGACTAAGCATTTTCTAGTATCCAATCTAAATCTCCACCACAACAGGATGTATATCTGAGTGATGGTAAGGGAGGTGGGGTTAAAATTCTGATTTATCAATATATTACCATACATATGCACATTAAAAATATGAAAAGTTTTCCAGTTCAATATATCTATAGCAGGAGGCTTAAACCAGAATTTCAGAATACAAAGAAACTTTTATGTCATTTTTGATTTGCAATAAGTCAACAAAATAAGTATTCTATTCTGAATTGTTGACAGGAAACAGTGTAAATTCATGTCTCATCCAATACAACACAAGAATTTGAGACACCTCGGGCATACCAGGGGTATTCACTTAATTTGGTGTGTGAAATTCAGTGAAGTCCCCTGCAGCCACGACATAATGGCAAGTATCCGGTCCTATCACCCCCAGGTATTCAATTGGAATTTTTACTTGAAATTTCCCAAACCATTCCTTTACTGTACTGTAAAAGCCTTTCCTAGCCGACTGCTTTATTTTGACATTTATATAAAAGACTAAGTAACCCCCCCCCCCAATGACCTCATTCACTCCTCAACTTGGACACTGAAAGTAAGTGTCTTTCCTGTTTGCCAAGAAATGATAAACCAGTGAATAAGAGACGATTGTCCTTGCATTCCCCTCTGGTATGCCAAAGGTGCAAGGATCCAAATGACTGGTGCAAAAATAAGCTTATTCATCACTGTATTTAATTAAAAGCTATTAAAATTACTCACTAATAATACAACTGAGAAAATTCAGAAATAGTAAAATACACCCATAATATTCCATATGCTATATTTATAAATTCCAATTGGCAATTTTAATATAGGGCCATTTTAATATAGGCGGGTATTGAAAAGGCCAAGTGACCAATACCAAAAGCATAATAATTAATAAAACACAATATATTACACCATTAAAACTTTACTATCATAAACATATATTATTAAACATTTTATATTTACAGTGTGCTTAAAATTTTACAATTATACTTGAGCACAATGTTTTAATAATAGACAACTTTATAACAAGAAAATGTTAAAATGAAGAAACTTTTTAATGGCTTCATAATTGACGTTTGTTCGATATTGTTGCTTACTTCTACTTTATAATTGTTCATTTTGTTATTTTCTTTCTTTCTGTTTGCAAATTATCTCCATTAATCCATAGAAAACAAGCATTATACGTTTGTATTTCTTCGTATTTCGAACGCGCACTCCTTGAAGGCAGCCATATTGCCGAATATAAACATCCACTTGATGAATAAACTTTTCATATTTCACTCTATTTCCAACGACCAATCAAATCACTTCTGCTTCGGCTTGTCCCAGGGCTTACGGCAACGCAGGCAGCCGAGAAGCCCTGGGAACGAGGATGGAACACTACCTTCAACCGGTAATTTGAAGCCAAACTTGAAGGCCAGTCCCAGTCTTTTTATGCAGGCGAAGAGCGTGGTCAATCCGTCAACAGGAGTTACAGGACCAGGGCGCGAAATAATGGCTGGAGGGTCGTCGGTTAAGGTGAACGGCCAACTCAATTTTAGTACTGAATGTACTGAATTTCTGGCCGATCAAATTATTCAGCTTAAAATGTGACTATTTTCCCAGTATAGCATTACAAAAAGCCTTACTGTAATCAGTAATTAAAAACTTCTTCACATAAAACAGCTTGCACTGTGCTAAAAGCATGGCCTTAACTCTTAAGCCAAAAGCATGGCCATGGGCTTTGTGACGTACTGCGTGGGAAAGCTGGCGTACATTGAAGTTATTTTCCCGCAAAATATTTGACAACATGTTATGGTTCTTAATTATAATACTTGACAACTTTTTTTGATCATTAATTAAAATGAAGATTAGTTAATTGTTCTTTTACCGAAGGTGACCGGTCAAAATGACCGGCAAGGTATATACTTACAATTTGACCGGACAACTCTGCATTCTGGCCAAGCATTGTCTGTTGACCGGCCGTTATTTCGTACCCTGGGGACTGATGTATTCTTGAAAATTTACACAAAAAGCTTTTTAACAGTGCTCAAAGCTTTCTATTAATGCATTTATTCAGGTAAAGTTTCCTTGTAGACTGTACTTTTAGTTTTTTTCTAATAATTGTGTATTCAAAGAGGATTTTGCTGTGATAAAAGTGTGTCGGGAGAGGATTGCGAGACACAAAACACACATGTCTTGACCCCTAGACACATGCCGGGGGTCAGATTTGGGTTCAATAAACAGATAGGCAGTTTATCTGAAGGATAGGCTTGGGCGGTTAACCAGTTTTGTTCAGTTTTCTTTTTAAAACTGGTTTTCATTTCCAATAACCGAAAAATTGGTTTTTGTTATCTTTTCTTTTTCAAGAAAAGTGCAAATACTAATATTTGAAATGCTGTATAGAACCCTTGCCTGTGTGCACAAAGTATTATCTTAAAAACATAAGCAGGCAAATCAGCTGGTCACCTAATACGTATCACCACTATCACATAATGGTTCACACGTTTGTAGCATTATCGTGTATTTCCTCATTTCATTTGAGAGTGAGTTAGATCTTATGAAATCATACCAAGACAGTGGTTAAGTTTCAAAAACATCCAACGTTAGAAAATGAAAAAGTCACAAAAACTGGTTTTATGGTTTAACCGGTTTTAAGTTGGACGGTTTACCAGTTTTTATTTTAATCAAAACCGCCCATGCCTAGTCGAAGACTATTTCCAAGAAGGGTATAGCTAAGAGCCCATGAGTAAACAATAAACAAGGGAGTCAAAGTAATTGCAAAACAAACCTGTGTGAATCGGAATGAAATCTATTTGTCAATAATCCCTAAATTTCCCGGGTGTCCCCCAAAAAACTTGCGCTGTTTGATTTCATGTAAGGTAAAAACTATAAAGGCTAGTATACACTCAAATAAGTGTTATTGTATTGAGGAAAGGCTAACTTAGATCTTGATATACAACCCTAAAAATTTCATGTAATATTATGTGAGATACAAATGTTTGAATTTTGCACACGCTTTACTGTAAGAATGAGTAAAAAAATCGAGAGACACGGCTGATCAAATTTATATGAAAACAATTGCCATTTTCCACAAAAATTAACAATTTCAATTTTAGCATTTCAACTTAACTTTAATTTTGGTAATGACTAATGTCCCAGTCAGTTAGCCTTTCATGTTTTGTGGAAGCGAAATAAGCATGAAATATTTAAAATCGATCGAAACTATATTTGATGTCCTTTGAGAGTTTGTATTATAAAGTTGGTCTTGAAATATGCCTTCATCTTTCGAATATGCCTTCGCCTTTCGAATATGCCTTGATTAACAATAGATCAAAGAGTTTGGATGTGTATTGAATATGCTAGAACTGATAATGCTGAAGAAGTTAAAAGGCGATGGCCAGGGTAACGTTGGGGTAACGTTCCTTCCCCGAGTAGGCAAACAATAAAAATGAAGTTTGACAAACTCTTGAGAGAAGGCACATGCCTCAACTTTAATAACGGACGAAGTGGACATATGAGAACTGCTAGAACAAGGGAAAACATCAACTTTGTTCGGCAATCCCTGGAAGAAAACGGAAGGCGCTCTACGAGGAGAAACAGTCTTGGATTAAGCTGAATCGCATTCCATCGCATCGTTAATAATGATATAAAATTTCATTTGTGATAATACAGAGGCAGGAATTAAGAGAAAGTGATCCAGCCCAACAGCTTGCATTTTGCCACTGATTGGTGAACACAATTGTAGCAAATCCTGGATTACTCGACCAGTTAATAGTTTCAGATGAATCGGTTTTCAGCCTCAGTTCTGAAATAAATTCCCGTAATGTTATTGAATATGCAGAACAGTGGCAATGGCCATCTGCCTGATCATTGTGTTGAATTTGCTCAAGGTGCCGACCAAGTGATAGTATGGGTTGGTTTGATAAGAGAAGGTATTGTCCTAGATCCATATTTGCTGAAAGGAATCTTGATAGCTTGGAGTATTTACAAATTATACTCTATCATGTTATTCAACGTGATTTTCGAAAATACAATGTCAACAGGTGGTGGCAGCAAGATGGTGCTCCCTGCCATACAAGCAAATGCGGCGATGCATTTCCTTCGAGTACAATTTCCCGGAAAGCTAATGAGCAAACGTAGCGATTGTGATTTCTTTCGTTGGGGCTATTTAAAGCAACAAATCTGGAACGTCCTTCATGAGCAGCACTGCAGCAGCCAATAAATATGAGACAACTTTGTGATGCGATTGTTTTGACATGCGAATCTTTGGGACGGCAAATGATTCAACGTCCCTTTGACGCAATGGGTTCCTGTGCAAGACGTTGTATACGTGGAAGAGGACATACTAAATCCAACATTTAGCTTTAATACAGCAGAGCATTTTAGTAAAAAGATTTTGTTGAGCATTTTAGTGAACATTTTAGAAAGAATACAACTGTGCCTCTCTATGATGGCATGGAATATCTAAATATTGTTCGTCATTCTCAGGGAGCATATCAAGCAATAGATGGTGAAAATTTCAATGACATCAACAGTTTCCTACTTTCGTAGTCAGTTTCTTGACTACGAAAGTAGGAAACCTAAAACAAAGACGAACAACATTTACCTTGAATACTTTGCCATGGCATAGGCAGTTTAAAAGACAATGAAACCTCGAAACGATCTTGAACCTGGTACCTAGATCACAACATTGTTGCGCATTTAACCTGCTAAGTTACTAGCCAGCTTGTTACAGTTAGATGTGTGATTACTATTACCAATGGCTGGTCAAACAGTGATATACTGTGGTCAGTCCCTGCCTGTCATGTGTTGTATGTACATTTTGTCTAGTCTAATTTATGTCTGTTATGTTAAAAATAAATAAACAAGCGATCCACGACCGGACCAATAACAACTTCATATTGTTTTTAATTATCTTCCAAATCCAAGAATGTTTTGGAAGAATATCCTCAAACCCATTGAACTGACTTATGAAATTTTCCAGTTACAGGTACTCATTTTGGAGCCTGATAATGAACTGTCTTGTTTTTGTAGGTTGGTCTAACATCTCATGGATATTTTGATACTGATATTTATGGTTCAAGTAAAAGCAAGTATGTTAAACTTATTTATAATGTGTTGGTTGAAGGTTGCACTGACATTTTAAAAAAAGGAAAAAAATATCAGGGTCTCAGGCATCTTACTCGATCAAACTAAATTGAAGGGTTGTAAATTTTACATTGTTTTTACATTGGCATCACCTTTAGAGTTTGACAACTGGCAGTGGCGTAGCCAGGGTTTACAAAGTGGTAGGACAAGTTGAGCACCAAAGGTGCAAACAATCTAAGGGGGTCCGGGGGTATGCTCCCCCGAGAAAATTTTGGATGCCGCCTTTTCCATAGATTTTAAATATTGCACTCGGGGGCATAGGAAGCAGGGCTCTGGCAGCTAGGGCACCATCCAATATTTTATAAGGGATGAAAGAATTGATGTAAGGACCTAACAAAAGAGGTAGAGACTAGGGATGAGCCGATTAATCGGTAAATAATCGGCAAAGCCGATTAATCGGCTGTTCTTTAAATAATCGGTAATCGGCCGATTATTGCCTGATAATCGGCAAATAATCGGCCATAAGACTTTTTCTGCAGCTGCCAAGCACATGCTAGAATACTGAATACAAGCGATAGATTTTCACATTTTGTTGCAAAACCTGTGTCTTTTGTCTCGAGCGAAGTGAAGCTGGGAACATTTCCACTGGAAAACGCAGCAGACTAGGTCTGCATAGCTGACAATATCCTGTTTTTACACCATAATCTGCCAAAACTAAACTTTGACTATTGACATGCAAGATTGAAGCTGTTTTTAATTGTACATAGTGTGTATTGTAAACAATAAAACCGCATTTACAACTTCATTGTTGGTCATCTTGTGATTTTTCGCTTGCTTTTTAACAATTATTGGATGAGGCTGAGCAGGATATCCAGAATTATTTAGACCGAGGTCAATGTTATCTGCCGAAGCCAAAGAAAACAAAACAAGCAACAATTGAAAACAAATAAATATTCATTGAATTGATTAACTTTTCAACTAAAAATTTCTCGCCAATTTGTGTTTTCGCATAAAATACCGCTGAAATATCTCGGGCGCCGTCCAATAACCTCTGCAGATTACTGTTTCCGCTGGAAATAGCGCAGGCACCTACAAATACCCAACACTATTTGTAGGCTCTTAGCCAATGAAAAACCGAGAACACAGTACAATGAATAATAATTAAAATAATCGTCGGGTACCGATTAATCGGCCGATTAGTTACGATAATCGGCTTATAAATAATCAACCTCAGTAATCGGCAAATTTCCTTATCGGCTCATCCCTACACGGCCAGAAATCTCGCAGGCCTGTCGCAAGCTGTTGATTTTACCGGCTTGCGGCAAGTTGTCAACAAGTCGCGACAGGTCTGTTGGTTTCGTCAGGCGGGAACAGGTCTGCCGCAAGCTGTTGACAACAGAGCCGTAGCGACGTGTTGAAACAACCCGCTACAAACCTGTTACTAACAAGAGATAACAGGTCTGATAGAACAACTTGCAGCAAGTCTGTTGAAATCAACAGGTCTGTTCCAACTTGTTCCAACAGACCTGTCGCGAGTTGTTTTTGTCAAGTTTGCAGCAAGCTTGTTATCAGACCTGCGACAGACCTGTCCACAACAAACAATTTTTGTCCTGTCGCAACAAATTTCAACAAGCCTGTTGTTGGGAAACAAATCGAAAATGTGAGTAAAGAGAAAAATCGCACGAAATGGACACGTCTGCCTTCACTTTCTCATTCAAGGCAATATTAAATCACATGCAGAGGAGATGAGGCTATGTGCACACGGTAACGTTTTCGAGCGTTTTCACGCTATGTAAACACTATCAATTTACAACAGAAGCTGTAGTTTATTTAATGTATTGGAGATATATTTTCCTTTGGATCGTGTGAACAGGGTGTCAAAACGATTAAAGGAAAAAAAGTTTTGAAAACGCTGGAAAATGACGCCCATGTGAACATAACCTAAGTATCTACTCTGATCTGTGATTAAATGCAAAAGCCACTGTTTTTAACTTTTTATATTTTTAAAAAATAATTCCGATTTCCAAAATCCAAATTCCAATTTGCTGACGTGTGCTATCGTTATATTTCTTTAATCTGATTGGATAAAGGAGTGTGCACACATCATCATTCCTCGTTGCAATTGGACGAAATATTACAAACATATCAATCACGTAATCATGTTTAGTTGTTTTTGAATTTTGAGCCAAACAAAATTTCAACAACTGCCTCAAACAAAATCAAACAAGTTCAAAGCTGTTTTGATTTTTGAAGAAACTGTGGCAATGAGAATACAAGATCTAGAGCTTAAGAAATGAAAAATACATGAGCAACCTAGTGTTCACTGCAACGTTCTTCATTGTTCATATGAATATGAAATTCGTTATATACAATGATTTCTTTCCAATTTCAAGTGAAATCAGCGAGCGAGGAAGACGCCTTATTGAAGCTTTGTGTTATTGTATGTACTATTTTGAAGAAAAATATGCAAGTAGGTTGTCATATTTCGGTCGTACTTAAAGACCAATTAATTTTGAAAATTGTTTACGATAAGAACCTTTCTTGAATTTGTTGTATTTTTTCGGCTGTTTTGCTCAAAAATTATCTTGCAAGTTTGTTTATAAGTGTTCATATGAAAGTCTGGCTATTTCACGAAACACTACAACCGAAATATGGCAACCTGTTTGGCCGTTTTTTGTTCAAAATAGTGGATACACAAGCTTCATAAGGTGCTTTCCTCGGTTTGCAACAGGTCTGTCGCAAGTTGTTGAAAACAGCATTGCTGCAGCTCTGTGTCAACAACTTGCGACAGGCCTGTTGAAAACAGCATTGCTGCAGCTCTGTCACAACAGCTTCTAACAGACCTGTTGAAAACAGCATTGCTGCAGCTCTGTCACAACAGCTTCCAACAGACCTGTTGAAAACAGCATTGCTGCAGCTCTGTCACAACAGCTTCTAACAGACCTGTTGACAGGCCGTTGCGGACCTGTCAGAACAGACAGGTACAAGGCGAGCGAACGCATCCAGATATCGGCTTGTTGACAACAGGATTTAACAGATCTGTTGCAGATCTGTTCCGACTTGCGCGTTTCTGGCTGTGTAGTAGATAGTAGAAACTCTGGATCTGACGAACTAGAGCATAGATATCTTATATACACTAGATAGTGCATCTAATTATTCTGCAGTTCAAAAATTGAAGCTGTGATTGCAGACTCAGGATATTCCCATGAAATAAGAAGATTCATATGTTTTTTATTTCTTAAATTAAACAGGGAACTTAAACATTAAGTTAAACCTATTCCAAATACATTTTTAAACTATTCAAATGCAGGGTTTTTTCCAGGATTTTCTCTTGGGTCCGTTTTTGCAGAGAAGATTGAGTTTAGCTGAACACCCCCCCCCCCCCCCCCTACCGGGGGGCTGACACCTGTACTCAATAAATGTAGTTGAGATGGAATGTGTTAAAACAGGGGCACTAAGGGACACTATAAACTGGTTAAAGATGGCGAATGCATAGTTTTTGTTGTGTTGTGAGATGAGTTCCTTCAAGATTGAGTTTTTGGGGCCGTTTAACGGCCCTAAAAAATCTCTGAAAAAAACCCTGAAATGATGAAAGTTATTGTTGTTTTTTAAGCGTTTATAAGTGAGTGGGAACTACCAACATGGCCGCCATCTGTTCAAATGGGGGTAGCCACTGGAATATTCTTGGCTTCAATTTTACTAAAAGAGATGCGCTATCTGGTGTATATAAGATATCTATGAACTAGAGACTCAAAATTGGTGCTGACGATCGTGGCACTCAGCCCCTGCCCTGCTGCATCATTGCTTGACTGCATAGCCAAGAATAATTAGAACTTACCTATTTGGTTTTATTCTTGACTTTCTATTCAAGTCTCAGTCAAAAGATTATTGATGACTAGATCTAAAGCATTCCATGTTACTGATTATGTTCTTGTTCTCATGCTTGTAGATTTGAAGGTTATGAGATATCAATTCCAACAAATGAAGCAGAGGAGGTAACTTTGACTTTCATAGAAACTGTATATTTATACTATATATTGTCTTTTTTATTAGATCATAGCAAAACAAACTTATACAGTATATCTGTTTATTTAACTACATACTATTAATTATAGTACAACAAGAGGTTAAGTTGTTGATAATTTTTAGGATGAAGATGATTATTCTGCAAGTGCTCTTGGCCAACCAAAGAGAGCCACATACACAGCTCCTGTTGCTTTGCTTAATGACATTCCTCAAGGAGAACAGGTATGGTATTGTCCTCTTGTTGTCCTTGCTAATGTTGTTACCCAAACATTGTGTTGACTGTATCATATTGAATATTTTATTTGCAGTTCAATGCATTTGCTGAACACAAACAACCAACAATTGCTGAAAGAGAAGATGACTACAGAGCTAGGAGGAGAAAGATGATTATCTCTCCAGAAAGAAATGATCCATTTGCAGAGGGTAGGTTAAGATTGGGCAACTATGTTCAAATGGTTATTATCCATCAGCAAGCAAGTGTTGAATGTGCAAACTTAGTCCATTTGTGTGCTTTTGGAATGACTGTTTTGTCTCACAATGGTATGTCTAAAGTTTGAATAAAGGGTTTTCATGTTTGACTTGCCATGTCTTTCTATTCTTCACACATAAATCATATGTGTGTACCTGTTTTGATGTGTGTGTGTCAGTAATGCATACTGTACAAGATACTGTCAACTTCTTGAAATATTACTATTTGGATGCATGCCATAAACCATGCAATCATGGTTTGATTTTTTTTGGTTTAAGCTAAGATATATTTCATATTCATATTAAGCATTTTTACAGTCACTTTTCCAGTATATAATTTAACCAAGAAGTTTGCCACAATGTGGTGTCTTTAAGTGTGTTTTATTTCTTTTCCAAAAATGATCAGGGCACACAAACAAACAATGAGTTGCTTTACTCAAACAAACTTGAAAAACATTAATTGTTGCTGAATAAAGCAGAAAAACAAAAATATATGGACCAAAATGCATATTCAATATGCTTTCTTGCATGTGCTTCTAACCATTGTTTATCATGTATATCTCTTATTTTGAAATTACCACAAACCAACACACAACATTTACATGCATATTTTTGTGTTCTTACTTTGCATAACAACAAAATTCATATTACTTGAGTTTACTGCATTTAAAGTTGTAATTTTGAAAAGCGAAACAAATTTGGGATTGTAACTATTTGGAAGGATTTGAGAATAATTTTGCATGGCTAAAACGTTTCTGCTAAGTGACCCTATTATTATGGATTTTACACTAGATATGTGTTCTGTGAGCAGGAAATAACATAACGTAACATAACAGACACAACATAACATGTACTCTGAGCACAGTACTCTACTATAGATATTTAGAAATTAGAATAGTAATTTAGTAATGATAAATTTTTACTCGCAAATACTTATTTACGGGACCTTTTTCTTCTATGTAGTGAGATTGGTAAGGTAAGTTCTTTGCAAAAAAGAAAGAATCTGGATCTTCAAAAGACTATCTAGACATGTCTTGGCAACCCATGAAACAACCCGAGTCTCTCAAATTCCACAGCCCTTGTTCACTAAATAGTTTACTAAAAATTTTCACTTTCATTTTCAGTGATGATATCAGTGACCTTGTAAATATTGCGTTATTGTGGCCAAACATTGGAATAAATAAAAATAAAATAACTGGACATTACCAAGATGTTAAAGCTCTCACACACAGTTCTCCCGTAAATTCATTTGTGTACCAAGTCCAAGAAATTGAAATTATTACAATATAAAATGATCATGAGCTATATTTTTTCCTGATGTAAATCAATAGGAATGGGTAAAGCACTCTGTCTTAGACAAGAAGTAAGCAATTTGTGCTAAAAGGCTTGTTCATCAGAGTTTGGATTTTATAGCCAAAACGTTGAATTTGGCCTGCGTATCTTTCTAATTGTTCCTATAGTCACACTGCAGTAGCAATCAAACGTTGTGAATTGTACTTTTTCATGAAATAAAGTACTACTGTACCTGATATTAGACACTATTAAAGAGCTGTAACTTTCATAAACTGAGCAAGAATATGGCATATTTAGTAGGCAAACAACATTAGCATGTAAACTGAACCAACCTGAATTTGGTATGGTTTGCCCTCCCCTTTTAGTGGTACACTGATATGTAAATGATGATTTATTAGGGATCTTCTAACTGTAGTTGATTAACATGGAGGTGTGATGAACATGGCTGTGGAGCTCAAGTTTCACCAAGTATCTCTGCTCTCCTGGGTTGGTGTTAGCAGCGAGACAAATACCAATGTTATATAGTACCTTGGTTGTTATAACGTAGCGGTACTTGACTTGTGGAATTACAGTAACAAGCTAGGACATTGTAAAAGCTCTTGTACTCAGAATGTCCTAACCTCTTAAAATTGCAGAATCTATATAACTAAGAATTTCAGAAAAGATTAAAGTGTTTACGAAAGATGCATCGTGTACTATATAATATGCAGTATAACACGACAATGTAGAGATGAAGATGAATTTTCTATAGTGACAATTTACAAAATTTCAAATTTTGTGAAAATTTTAAGATTTGGACTTTGGGTACATCTTTTACCAATGTCGGACCCTGCCACAAAACAATTTTGTCATTGTGTATAGAAGTATTCCCTCTCCATTACTGTACATAAAGTTTTCAGGTGTCTTGTGTAGAGTGTATATTTTTGGTAAGAATGTTTGTTACAGTCACTGAACAACTATGCCAGTCAGGATAAGCAATAAAAGCTCAATACGATGTCAGTCGATGATATTTCCTCTAAGAATACCTCCACGTTGTAATAACGTATTTGGCTATTTGGAATTACTCTTAACCACATTTTGTACATTAGTAATAAAATGTATTTATCGCTGACATCAAATCTGGTATTTTGTTGCTTATCCTAACACTCTACCAAGATAACCGTTACCCCTTACTCTAATTATTTGACCTACCTGTGGAATGCCGTCTTTATTCTCCTTTTATTCAACTTTTATTCATGTTTCATTACTGTACTTTAGTATTGGCAATTGATTTTATGAGTTGTTTTCAAATACTGTTATTGCCATTTGCATCCGCGTGTAATTTCAAAGTTTTGTCAACATTAGTTTGTCTATTGACATGTCTCTTTCGATAAAGACTATGTCTATAATTTGTTATATATATAATAACTCTCTGTAAACAACTTTGACCCGTCAGTCCAACATTTTCATTAGATGAGTCTTTGTTGACAAAATCGGAAGCAACTTGTTATACTTGGATGTAAATAGTAATAGTCGTAGTTCCAAGATTCTGATTGTACTAACAAGCAGAACTTATTCTGCTTTTGTTTTTTCTCCGTAGCTATGAGTTTGAAGACACCTGACCCTTCTCAGAGGATAGGAAGGAGCTATGCAGAAATCTTGATGGATCAACGATTGAGAAAAGAAGAGGTAAAATATACCGTTACCATATGTACGATGGGCGCTTTCCATTAACACGGCCAGACCGGTCAAATTGTTGAATAAAACACAAAACGTGCAATGTGCAAAATGTGCAAAATTAATTTCTCTTGTCTTGGATGCGCGCGCGTTAATTGGAATCACTTCACTACGTTTGAAATGACGTGGTTGATGTGCCGTTTAATTAAATTTCAAATGACGCGAGCCAACAGATCACGACACTCGTGTATATAAAAACACAATAGATACCGGACCAGAAGGAACACTCCTATGTGTTTTGACTGAAGGAAAACGTCCGAAATTTTTTTACGTGCAATGACGCCATCCTGGAGTGCACACGGCACTTTGTACCTATGTTTTCCTATGAAAAACGTCCGTGTGCACTCCAGGATGGCGTCATATGATGGCGTATTTTCACGTCAGCACTCGTAAAATTTCGGACAAAATATCGTCTGAGTGACACTTCTGTTTGTGTATCTATTCTGTGATAAAAAGAGCGTGTGAATTAAACAAGTCACATATTAATTGTTTTTGTTTGTAGAAACACCACGTAAATTTACGTGGTGTTTCCACAAACAAAAACAATTATATTTTATCGCCATGCAAACATTCAAAGAACTTAAGTCACATATTATTAGCACTGATGAAGATCCGGGCTTACGGATCGAAAGCTTTGTAGTAATAAATTTACGTGGTGTTTCCACAAACAAAAACAATTATATTTTATCGCCATGCAAACATTCAAAGAACTTAAAACACAAAACATTTGGGCTTCGGACCTATCTGATCAGAAAACTTAGATAACATTAGAATCCGGTCCATTCTCGCTAGATATTTGAAAAACATAGACCAGATCTTTCCATTGATACAGAGAAAAGAGAATTCGGGTCTGACTAGTCAGGCCATTAAATGGAAAGCGCCCGATGATGTTACTGTGAGTAGTTGATTTCTCTATGTCTACCTTTACACTATACCAGATAGTTTCCGTAGCGGCGCGAAAAAGCACCTATCCGATACGGAATGTACAACTTTTAGAACACCTTCTCTCCGTTGCCATAGTTCCTCCGAAAATGGCGTTCCTAAAAGGTACAGATAGGTGTTTTTTCACGTCCCGGCGGCTGTCTGGTACAGTGTAAATGTAGTCTATGTCAGGGCAGTTAATCCCAAAAAGCAGTGCAAAAATCGTTAACAACCGAGTAAAATACTGTAACAAACTAATCATTGATTCAATAATAGGAACTGTAATAATCGGATCAAATTAAAGCAGTTTTTAGTGCAAAGTTTCGCTATTGTAATGAGGACAAAAAAAATTCAGAGCGATCATTGAAAACACATTCGTACATGCTTCTTCCATATTGCACTCGTAACCGTCCTGTCATCTATGCAAAGATATCGTTATTAGTATTACTAGTATGAATGATATTAGTTGCTTGAGTTTTTCTGATCTCTTATGGCAATCATCCAAGCAACTCAGTCGGCTTATAGTCTTAGTTTGTTCAGTGCGTGTCCACACATTGAGCCGTGCATGAATCTCTTATCTCCAAATTATATTTCCCCAGTACTTTGGCAGGCAATTTGTATGTCTTTT